TCTATCTTTCTTTTTGAACCACATGGGTAAAAAATAGACATTTTAGAGTAAAAAAAAGAGGGAGAGATAGAGAGAGGTTTAGAAAGAGAAATAGATATAGGTGTCCTTTTAACTTAGTTTGGGATAAAAAAGTGCGGTCAAAATGGATAAACTAGGTCTAGAAGTTAGAAAATATGCTTTGTGGGATCTCTATACCGTAATAAACTTTTTAAAACTCTGAGTCTATTAGAAATGGTACACCAAAATAGAGTATACGGAGTTATTTTCCCTTTTTTATTTATACTTTTATTGGGATTGACAACTTTTGCTTAATTTTCATGCTTTCTTTGTTCAAGAAAACGACATCCATTTAGTTATGGAGGGCTTTTTGAGTGGAATTACTGACCTATCTCACTGGGAATTTCTCCATGATAGGAGAATCTTCAAGGGTTCCATCACTACTCTTAAGATAATCAATTTTTTTTCAAGGAGACTATTAAGGTGAACTTTGCCTCAAAGTTCATAGAGATGAAGCTTTAGACATGATACATGGTGTTGTGTGCTGAACCAACTACCCAATATGGTTCGTAGCTTCCGGTAAAGGGAAAGTATTGAATAAGATTAATTGTTTTTTTTTATACAAGAAGGTCACGATTATTAATGGCTGTCGGATGTCAAATCAAATAGTTGGGAATTTATTATTGATTAGGTTGAAAGTTCAAAAGACAAATTTTGAGATCTATGACGTAATCAAAGTTTTATAATTTCACATCTGCCAACTGTAGTTGAGTGTTACCTCTTTGTAGTACAGGTAAATGCAATGCCTTTTGTAAATGTAGGAACTTCTATTAGCACTCTAAGAATTCTTTATATGAATGATTTTTCCAAATAAATGCTTTCAATTTTCATGGATAAGGTCAATGGAGACAAGTTGAGATAAGGGGATTCAATCACCAAAAAGAAAGAAAAGGAGTAGGACATCCATTCCCCCCCACCCCCACCCCCACCTTCTCCATGTGAGCCAGTGCTCCATTTCTTACTCACAAATGCACTTTAAAGGTAGCAAGATTTGCACACGTGCTCACAATAATCAGAGTTGATTTTGATGTACTCTAAGATATTTGACTCCCAAATTAACTTTAAAGATAGCAAGATTTGCACACAAGTCATGACAATTGGAGTTGTTGGTGATGTACTTTTAAGATATTTGACACTGATATCTTTAATGGTTGAAATTATATTAATAATGCAAGTATTCCTAATTTTAAGCCTTTCATTTAAGGGTTTGAGGGCTTATGTGAGGTGAGGGTAATTTTGTTTTATTTTGCTTGAAATTTCAATTACTCATTTTAAGATTTGGTTGTAAAAGTACTTAATATCATCTAACATTGTTGAAGTTACAATAAAAGAAATAGAGACGAGAAGATAAGAGAGAGAAGTAGATCACCACATCATACACGTGGTTCGGCAATGTTGCTTGCATCTACATAGGATAAATCAATATTTCATTTATAAGGATTATTATGGCTTACAAGAGATTTATAGAGTTACGGCTCTTGTCTTTTAAAAAACAAAATCTCCTTAACAACTGAAATCCCACAAAATAAAAAACTTAATATAGTAAATTCAATATCTTATAATCTACAAGATAGGAAAGTTAACATCTTACTGCTTTGGTAAATTCGATATACTGACACTCATGCTCCAGTCAGATCTTAACGCATCCGCGTCTGTGTACCATAAAATGTGCCCTTCTATATTATTCCTTTTAATCCCTTCTATATAATCCTTTTAAATCTCTTCTATATCTATATAACTAGAGATATTCTAGTTATTGTTTAAAATTATTTACCATTTTAGGAAATAAATTCTTTCAAAAGATGAGCCATAATAGCCATGAAACACAAAGAATAAGGGAGCCATAACCAGCAAGACACACATAAAGCATAAGTCCTAAAATACCTCATGTTGCTCAAATGGGACTACATTTCCTTCCTTTATTTTTATTAAATTATTTCTTTGCCAAAGTTTTAACTTTGCATTTGATACCAAGATGGTTGTAAAAAGCTGGAAACAATCTTTGTGGGACAAGGGGCATGTGCCATCATAAAGCAAATGCCCTTGGTGAGGGCACATCTCTTATCATATGTGATCTTCCGTACACGCTGCATGCCTTTTTTTTTTTTAGCTTTTATTTTTTCGAGATTACATGCAATGAAATTATTTAGTTTTAGTATAGGGAGATCACACTTACTTACAACTATTCGATGTGAAATTTAATAGTTTGGATGTCATAAAGCTTGAAATTTTTTTTTGTGAACTTTGAAGTTGATCAATAAATTAAATACCGCCATCCAATTTCACATCCAATGGTTAAAAATAATTGTGATCACCTTGTACTGAAAATAAATAGTATCAATATATATTTTTTCTTATTTTTCTAGATTGCATACTATGCTACAATGCAACATGCACGAAACACGTGCGCCACGAGATCTACACCGTCCATTCACACAAACATTCATGCATCTAGATTATCTGGCTTAGGTGTCAAAGAATCCTTGAGTAGCTTCGTGGTGGGACCCACCAATTTTATTCTTTGGAGAAGTGTTACATGATGATTGTAAGCTAGAAAAATAGTATAAAACGTCTCTTTCACTAACTTTTCTCTCTTTTGTTAATTAATTTGAAGTTAGGCCGTTGCGTTTATAATCTTTATGCTCTAAAGAACTAGTAAGTCCATGGGCTGAATTGACCCTCCATGGATTTATTTTCGAAGGAGTATATATCGTACATTTACTACCCTCTAACAATAAAGCTGAAGGGTAAATTCTATAGGACAGCGGTAAGACCAATTTTTTTTTTATGAAAAAATACGTTGGGCGGTAAAAAAAAAAAATATATTTACATAATGAATGTAACGAAGACGAGGATGTTGAGATGCATGAGTGACAAGACAAGAAAAAATAGAATTTGATACGAATCTATTTTCTTGAATTTAGGTATAGCACCAATAGGCGATAAGATGACATATATTAGACTTAGGTGGGCTGACCATATGTGGCACAAAGCTAATACTACTCCTGTTAGGAGGTATGAATTAGTTCAAGTGGAAGTCTAAAAAATAACAACAGGTAGATCCAAAAGGACAGGTTGAAAATAGTAAAAAAAATATAATGACTTATGGCCTTACTGAAGGTATGATCTTTAATAGAGCAAAATAACATACTAAAATTCGTGTAGCCGACCTCAATTAATTAGAAAAAAACTATGATATAATGATGATACTTTTATATAGATTTACTACCCAAGGCAAAAGATCGGCTTAAGAAGAATCTTTCTATGTGAAATCTTGGGGTCCAACATAGAATCAACCCAAAAGAATTTTGAAAAAAAAATGGAAAATTTGTTCGTGAATCAGCATGCGTCTCCTGACCCATCCAACATTCATCTTAAAAAAATGGGCTCCCACTTTTAAAAAAAATAGATTTAAATTTGAAATTATTATTTTTTATATTTAAGAACCGTGGCTTAAATCATGAATCTCTATAAAAATTTAGATTTAAAATCCATCTTTAAAATTAATTTTGGAGGGGGACTGCAAATACATAAAGTTGGCCAACTCATATAAACCTTGTCCAAAGAAGATCTATATGGGTTCATCTACGTACAAGAATTGGATATTCTTTTCAATTTTAGAACCCCTTTTCTAGATTTGATGTACAGTATGGAATATTTTGAGGTTAGTCACTTGGTTGAGAAGATCACGTCCTAAAATTTGAGGTTCTGATAATATTTTTAAATAAAGTTTTGCTCGATGGGGTGGATGCAAGAGATGCTAGTGCAGGAGCATATAATTTCTTGGCTTTTTGTTTTTTTCCTGTCTGTCTTTTTCATTCCTAAAAGAAGTAAAGTCATGTATTTCTTGAACTTTGAAGTCGTTTATGAATTATTTTCATTAAGAAGGGGCTCCAGGCATAATCTTTTCATCAATTTCTCTACATTTTCTTCATTTATTTCGAAATAACTCCATCCTCTTGTTAGGGGTAGTAAGAGGTTAGGTATGACTCGGGTCTAGAAATTCGACCCATACGAGTACCCGGAACCATCGGGTGTCAGGTCTGGTCAGATCCCTTGCCAACTATGAGCTTCTTCTTTCTTTTTCTTTTTTTTGACCTTTTTTGTTGTCATTATATATCCATATTATTGGCAACAAGATCGCAATCACCCATCATTAGATTCAAGCCGTCTAATTATTTGTTCCTTAATAGCTAAAAGGACTACGAGTTCTGACTGTATACGATCTTTAGTACACCTAAAGGAGATTCTGTATACGATTTTTTTTTTTTTTGTACCATCATATACCCATATTATTGACGACACGATCACAATCATCCGCCATTAGATTTCAAGCCGTCTAATTTGTCATTTAATAGCTGATGACTACGAGTTCTTACTGCATATGATCCTTAGGGTTCGATAATCTCAAGTTCTCAACCATGACAATGATCTAAATTTAAAAATTTTATTTTTAAAAGAATATGACTAATATTTTTTTATTTCTTTTTTCCACAGTTCATTTTGACTTTTAGATGTAACACTAGTTTACATTATCTTAGAGATGGACATTTGATAGACAACAGGCTGCACGGTAATAGATGAGACGCACCAAAACCTTGTCCTATACATTTTTGACCCTTTGATCTCTCACTTCAAAAATTTGGTGGTCTATATTCAATCTTGAGATATTAATTTTTTTCCATGACACAAAGAGTTCAACATAGGTATTTTTTTATTCTTTGTTTTTTTATTACGAAGTTCAGGCTCTAGGTTAAAGAGGTTACATCTCAAAAATATGGGGTCCTAAAAATCCCCTGTATCGGATTTTAACCGAGGCGTAAATGCACAAAAACTCCGGTGGGAGTATAAAATCTTTTGGCTTATCTAATCAGGGGTACACATAGCAACCGTAAGCAAAAATTTAAGATGAAAAAGGAAAGCAGAAAAAATAAAAAATAAAGTTGCTCTTTGATGAACTTCATATCTATATAAACTCTAAAACTGATACATAAATTTCATTTTCCTTCTATTTTTTCTTAGATTGAAACATCACTATTACATAATCCATGATTAAGGGGGTGTCATGGCTTTGGATCTCTAGGGCGATGTGGACATCCCATAACTTGCCAATTGTCGCTCCAACTGAAATTTGGAATAGAATAAATATTAGAACTTTTATAAAATAGAACAAAAAGGATATACCAAGAAAGAAAGGCAAAATTGCAAATACCTCGAAGAAACGGTCTAGCTTCTTTTTGAGAAGATTATATTCCTTCTTGGTTTGTTGGAAGCTCCTCATGCACCTGCATGAGCATGTTATTTTAGCAAAACCACACCATTAACGCTAATATTGGCAATGGCCGGGCAGCCTGATCTAACCCAGCCCCGCCTTAAAAAAAAAGTAGGTTCTTTGGCTGGTTTACACATTTTTTTTTCTTTGGCCTATCTAATCTCACACAAAATATGCCGAATTAACTTGATTTTTAAAGCTTCTAGCTCATATTGAAGCCAATCCGGCACGTATTATGTCGGAGGAGCATTTAAGAGGGCATCTTTTTACTTTAATTTTAAAATAAAATATAAAAATAAATAATATTGGATTTAATTTAAAAATATTGGGTATGATTGTACCAGCAAAGTTGGAACCGTGGGTATCGATAATTTCTCCTTTTCCCTTACATGGTAAATTTTTTCCCTTGAAGATAAGCACGTTGGGCATGCTTCGTCGGAAATCTCTTTCGAGAGGAGCATAATTTTAGACGCTCATTTCCCGTGAAACAAACATAGAAAAGCGGCTTGAGAGGGAAAGAGAGAGAGAGAGTTACCCCTCTTTGTTCCTTTCTTCACAGAATTGCCTAAACACAACACACTCATTCTTCAGTCTAATTGCTCCAATGCTGCAAAAAAAATCACACAAATTTGTTTGAAAATGGCACTCGAAAAGCATAGAGACTAGAGAGCAATAGAGGAATTGATAAGGACCATTCTATTCATAAAGCTCAATGAAAAAAATCTCTAAATATTTGAAGAAACTTCAGGATATAATCTTGATGCTAAAAAAAAATTTTGATTGATATACACCGACCTTGAGCTACTCCCCTTGAACTGGTGCATATATGTATCTAATCTCCTAAAATCAACAGGGTTCTTTTCACTGCAGGAGAGGAAAGAAAATAATCATACAAAGAAGTTACAACACCTCTCTCTCTCTCTCTCTCTCTCTCTCTCTCTACTACTACACACTACACACACACTACACACACAACAACAACAACGAACAACGAACACACGTACTACGTACACGTACACACACTACTACTACTACTCTCTCTCTACTACTACTAACTAACTACTA